GTAATCAACGTAGTAGTCGTTAATGACAGGTAAAAAAAAGCAATAAAATTTGATAGAATATATATTTTTCATATTGCAGAATAATTGATTATATTAATCGTGAAACATTTAAATAAAACATTAATAAGACTAAAATAATGGCTATAAAAGTTGAAAACAAGAAAAATTTAACAAACTGGTTCTTATGTTTTACATTTGGAAAAACTCTTAATGGGATATTTGTGGCTGTTTGATAGAACAAAGCAATTCAGTTAGGCTCAATATCTGACATCCGAAAATATTGAAATTTATTATAGATTTCTAAACAAACAGGCAGCGAACAATCTGTTTTACTGTGGGTGTGTTGTTTAATTTTTGTGTTTTTGTTTTTGTTTTTGATTTTAATAGCGTTTTAAAAAAAACGCCATTACAATATTATTTTCGCGAACCCCTTCTGCAAACACTGCGAACCCCCAGGGGTTCGCGAACCACCGGTTGGGAATCACTGCTCTAAAGATATGTGACGCATATATAGACAAATGGTTTTCAAAGAATTTTGTCCTGCTTTGTAATTGGTACGTAAATTATACAATATTAAAATCTCAGCACTTCAGTTAAGGTTTACAGGGTTTATTGCAGCCTTTTAGGGGGTTGATGGTAGGAATGGGGTATTAAGCCGTATGAGTTGCGCGGTGCTTAAAGGTGCATTTTAATATATTGAGATTCGTCCAAGCTAAAATTAAATTTAAAATGTGCAGATTCAAAAAGAAAGAAAAAATGTAAAAAGCTAGTAAGAAACAGATAAATGTTTATATTTAGATATGTTATGATAGAAAATCTTATAGCTACTTACTATCTTTTATTCCTCCCACAAATCCTTTGCTCTTGATCGGCAAATTTTCTGGCTTGTGATTTACTAAGGGCTCGATTTTGAAATAATCTCGAATGGTAGGTATTCGTAAAATACCGACTTGTATTAATGAAATAAAGTTACTTGATGCCCAATAGCATAGAATGGCAGCAGGAAAGTTAACAGTGAATGGTAAAATTAATACCGGTACAGCCCTCAAAATATACTTCATAGTTTGGAGGTTTTGTGAAGATAATTTTCCTGCATCTGTACCTACCTAAAACAAACAATTTAGTTTAAATTTTAAAATGGGGTTTCTCATTAAATTCCTGATATAAGTTCTTGTAAAATGCTGTAGTAGCTAATTAAAAAACTATAAAAATTAATAAACATATGCCGGGATAATGTACATTTTTATAATGGTACATAAATAAATTACTTCTATTGTAACCCATAAAGTGAAACTAGTTATAAGGGGTAAGCCGTAGTATTGATCAGGTAAAGTCAAATCGGTAAACCATAACATTCCACCTTCTCTCAAACTATCCACAGGTACATTCGCCATTTGCCGTAGTCCCATAAAAAATGAAATGAAAAGTGGCATCTACAAAACAGAAACAAAACAGTTACCAATAGAATTAATAAATATAATCAAAATAGGTAGGTGCGCATATGATTGCTCTTTAGGTGTTTTGTTGAATCTAGTATACATATATGTTGTATTTCCTTGTGATATATTAAAAGATATCACAATTTCATTGAATGTGTTACATTCTTTTATGTAACTTATATAAGGTTTAAATCTTGATTTAGAAAATTCAGGCATACAATTCCACATACTTGGGCTAGAGGAACAAGCATATTTTTAAAAGGATTG